TTCTTCCCTTTGGCCGGTTCGGCAACCGGCCAGAGGTGAGGACCGACGAGGTGCCTATGGCGAAGCTCGCCCCCGCTGGCCATTAGCGAGGGCGAGCCTTGTCGACCCCTGGTTGGCTAGGCGAGGTCGAACCTCGCCCAGTCAAGGTAAGGCCAGCCTAGCCATTGCCTGGGTGTCCCTCACCTAAGGACAACGAGGTCAGCCTCACCATGGCTAGGCGAGGCCAACCTCGCCGTCACCTGGGCGAGGCCAGGGGCTGGTGAGGCTTGCCCTCGCTAGTGGCTAGCTTAGCCAAAGGTCGGCACGGTTGACCTTGTCGGCCCTCGCCTCTCGCTGGTCCGGCAAGCAGCCAGAGGGCAGAAGGCTAGAAAAAAAAAAAGAAAAAGAAAAAGAAAATCGAAAAAATATTAAATATTAAAAAAATGGCCAGGTCAACGTTGGCTGGACGGCCAATGCCGGCCGGCATCTATGTCAGCTTCGAGCGGCCAAAACTGGCCGGATGGACTTAATTGGTAATAAGTGAAAAGGTTTAGGACTGAATTGATAAACTTGAAAGATTTAGGACTGAATTGACAAAGTGCAATAGGATTATGACTTTTTGGACGATTTTCCCCGAGCACAAAAAACCCTTACAAATACACACATAAGAGACACCAAAACCAATCAACAACTATGACTAGTTCAATGGCGCCTGGCTGTGCTTGGTTGGACGTGGGTTCTGGTTGACGGTGCATCGAATACTCATGCTCATGATATCTACCCCTGTAATGGAGGGGTTGGGTGATGTAATGAAGGATGTTGGTCATATTGACTGTGACGACATGAATGCAGAAGTTGCAATTTTCTAGTTTCGACTTATGCATGGAAATGGTCAGTGGGTTTGAACTATTGGGGTATTCTTCTTTTGTAGTAAGCTTCTGCCTATTTCCGTGACAATATTTGCTGCGGACACAGCAATGACTACAATACAGTTTGCTGAGATAGTATTATAGTACCTCCTTCTAAACTGAGCTGTACGAGTATTACGACCGAATTCAACAATTGTTCTCTTGATCGATACATATCCATTCTCAAGTATAGAGAGAATCGTGAGAATATGCTTTGGTTTTGACATAGATGTAAGAAACAAGATGGAACATTAATTTCTTGTTGCTCCTTAACTGATGTCCAGTGTTCATATTTCCTAAAGTCTGAAGGTCAGGCCGATTGCCTATTTGAGATTCGAACTTTCACCCTCCTTTATGGTTTCTATTATGGGGATGCTTATCTTAAAAAGCTAGAGACTGTATATCATGTGTGGCCCTGGAACGATTGATAGCTCTAATTCATTGTTCAGCAAGAAAAGGTGCTACTTTGCTTTCACTAGTGATCAGATGAAACTTCCCGAAGGCATGAAGCGTGCTACAAAGTTAAATAGATGAGGATTTTATAGATGAAAGAAAGCGGTCTTGGATTGCACAAACATAGTCGGCGCTATATGTTATGACCAAATTTCACCTAAGGATCTGTCGCAATCCCTAGCAAATGGCAAGAGTCCCAAGTTTCAGAGGCCACGAGGAACACTCAAACCACCAATCATGACATTGCGTGCGTGAGTTTGTAAAGAACAGTAAGACCTTAAATTAGAAATACTTTCCTGGCAACTACAGATGCCAAGAGGTACATCAGCAGCCAAAAGAACCGAGTTGCATGTCTTTCCTTACCGAGTACAGCAATTTTCAGTTTTTTTTTTTTTTTTCGGTCTGTCCTATCTCTAATTCTCCTATCCTTTTTTTTACTTTTGCTTTGCCTTTTGCACAATGCAGTGTCGAACCCCGCACCCTTGATACCAGCGTCTCCACTGCCCCAACCCCTTTACCAGCAGGGCCGTATGCCTATTGGCCGGCAATTTTCTGTTCAAGTAAACAAAAAAAGAAGAAGAGAGGAGTTGCCACGTGGCAGCAAGAGAACCGAGTTTCATGTGATGGAATGGGAGCTCGATTCAGAGGATACTCCCCGCGTCTTCATAACTGCCATAACTGCAAAGCTCCCGTCTTTTCCAAATTCTCTCGCTTTCTCAAACCAAAGTTGAACAAAAGAGCACGTCTTTGATATCCAAGCCAAGCAATGCGCAGATCAGATCACCCCTCTCATGTCACGGCTTACGATAACACAACCACCGCGGCCAGCCGGCCTGGAATACTCTGCAAAGTTCGTTCCCACCTCGCCACCTCCTTTGCCGCAACTTCCTTATTATAACGACACTTGTGCGTCAGTCAATTTCACCGGCAGCCTCCAAAGCTTAGCGAGCAACAAGCACCGCATCTTCCCGATCTCCGTAAACTCATTCCCATGTCCAAACAATTCCTGCACGGGCCACGATGGGAACGTGTCGTCGCAAGCATGAACAACATAACTTTCATGAACCCCTCGATCGACATCCTCCAAGCTTTATTGTTACGGCATCAATGGTGTGTTGGGAGCCGACGTGTCACATCTCTTTTATTTAGATTGGCATCAGCTCTCCACTTCCATCATAACTCACTACCAAGCTTTATCATCTCTTTTTTAAGCTCCTTTCCCACAATTTTTTCCTACCATAACTTTTCCACACTCCAATGCACCCGAGTAGCCGCCCACCCCCAAGTCGCCGCCTTTCTTCGAGATGGTTTCTCGCAAATCACTGAAGAAAGTGTTGGCAAGGCGTTGCTTCCTCTGTGCATTACGGGTGTGTTAGACCTAAGTACTTTCCAAGCGAACACGCTCGGTAGTTTCTACTCGGAGTATGGTCGCATTACCTGTTCGATAAAACTCCTGGGAAAGAAGAGGCCTCTTGGAACCCCATGTTATCTTGGTTGTGTTCGCGTGGGATTGTATGTCATCAGAGAATTTGTAGGAAGCTCAGCCATCATTAAAACCAGGTCACTGCGAATGCAGACAATACATGGCACGATGTGAGAGGAAAAAGAGAACGAGTCAGTAATTTGATTAGATTAAGTGGAAGAAGAAAAGAGGACTTGCAAACATGAGGACAGCGTGCCTGTCCAGCAAAAGATCTTTTTACTATAATAAGAAGAGCTCTGGCTACATCTCATAGTTTGCCGTATGAACTATACCTAGTTGGAAAGCTTAGGAAGTCCCTTTAAACTTTGTAGTTCATCAGTTTTCCATATTTTTACACCCAAGGCCCCTAATCTCAATTTCCCGCGACAGAAATTTAAATCATAATCTTTTCTCCCGGTTGAATACAGCCTTAGATATCTTGATGTTTTGATGCCTCCACCAATATCCAAGTGGTAGCAGCTTTCTAACTCAGACAAAGATCTTTTTCCATTGCTCGAATGCTTTACATCTATTGCCCAGGTACGTTAGCCTTGTTTGGTATTGCATGCGATATTATTGATGAGCTATGTAGTAATCTTGTTGTTGTCCTGATGTTGTGGTAAAAGGCTGGTGTAATTGAGGCCTAGAAAATTGGAAGTTTGTGAGACCCAGTGTTGCTGGAAACACAGCTTTCACTACAAAAAAACATGGATTTTGCCACGGAAATTTGCGACGGAATTTTTTTTCCGTCGCAAAAAAAGAATCCGTCGCAAAAATTTGCGACGGAAACAAAGTCCGTCGCAAATTTTTGCGACGGAAACAAAATCCGTCGCAAATTTGTGCGACGGAAATAAAATCCGTCGCAAATTTACGACGGAAATAAAATCCATCGCAAATTTTGCGACGAAAAAAAAAATCCGTCGCAAAATTTTGCGACGGAAAAAGAATCCGTCGCAAATTTGCGACGGAAACAAAATATGTTCGTCGCTAAAATTTGCGACGAAATATAAAATTCGTCGCAAATTTAATTAAAAAAAGAGCGCCCCAAAGCCCCGCCCTCACCCCCAATTTCTCTCTCTCTCTCTCGCTCACTGTTCTCCCTCTCTCACTCTCTCTCTCGATCATATGAGATCTGCTTCCGCTTCTCCTTCACCTTCTCGCTTCTGCTTCTTCCCTCTCCCCCACACCCCCAAACCTCTCGCGCTCGCTAAGGGTTTTTGGTACCCCCTTCCCCCCGCGACTCCTCGGCCATGGCCTCCGGAGCCCTAGAGGCCGCGGAGCCCAAAGGGGCGGCGGCTCCTCCCCCCGTCGAGGGCAAGGAGGTGGTGGTCGGCGGCGACGGATCGGAAGCAGAGGATCAACATCGACGACGTGCTCTCGGCCTCCGGTACGCGCGCGCGGTCTTCCACCAGATGCGCCGACCCAATTGCTTTTCTTGGAACTCCATCATTATGGCTCTTGCCGAGAGCGACGACGACACCACAAAGTTGGAAGCTCTGGCCCTGTTCCGCGAGATGGTCCGGGGTGGCCACGTGGAGCCCAACGGGTTCACGTTCCCCCCGGTGTTGAAGGCTTGTGCGAGGTTGGGGATGGTGAAGGAAGGGAGGCAGGTTCATGGGATGGTTGCTACGTGTGGTCTGGATGGTGACGAGTTTGTTCTTAGTAACCTTGTCAGAATGTATGTGCTCTGCGGTGTCATGGAGGATGCTTACGTTTTGTTTGATGAGAGAATTGTTCGGAGTGGTGGAGTGGGGAAGAAGATGAATCTCAGGAGGCAAGAAGGGGACGTGGTTTTGTGGAATGTGATGGTCGATGGGTATGTTAGAATGGGGGATCTTAGAGCTGCTTGGGAGCTGTTCAATAAAATGCCTCAGAGAAGTGTTGTGTCGTGGAATGGGTGACTTTGGCTGTGTTTTTGAGATTGGCCCTGTTTTTAGGGCAGAAAACTCCTTCACACATAGGCATTTGTGTGAATTTACTGGCCTTGATGTTGAAATGGAGATTAAGAAGCACTATTGTGAGGTTGGATTGGATACTTTTTCATTTAACTGAATTTTCAGTTTAGCTTAACGAACTAAACGTTTATGTGCAGGTACTGGACATTGTGGACAAGTTGTTCGTTACAATGTTCGACTCATTGAATGCGAGTTGCAAGAAAGAACTTGAAGCTATTGGAAGACAATACCGCTTTAAACCTTTAAAGGTTATACTATGATCTTTTTTTTTTCTTTTTTGCAATCTGATTACATAAATAGTGCAACTCATGGGCAGTAACTTTTAATTGCAGTACTTGAGAAAGACCTTGTGGCTTACTTTTCAAGAAGATGTTCAAATGCTCAAGGTGAGGAAAAAATTTTCGGCAGCTAAATAGCTGCCCATAAAAAAAAAGGGAACAAATAGAGTAGCAACATATCGGTTCATTGGCACTTCTATATCATGGCTGTAAAAGTAGGACAATGAGTTCTCTTGCTGATTTTTTGTTTGTTGCTTTTAAATGAAACTGATTGTTTGTGGTAGCACTCCTCTTACCTGATGATTTGTTCTGTTGGAAGAGGAACCGCAAGAAAGTGATATTTACAACTATATGCCGTGCACGTGTACATTGGGGGCTGATTTGTTCTTGGCTTTTGTTGCTTTAGCTTGATTTTGTTGTTTGATCTGATTCAGGGCTGATTTTGTTGGTTGTTTTGATATTCGCGAAAATGGAGGATCTTGTGGCTTTGTTTGAGCCCATTGCATTGTCTCCGTCGGAGTCTTCGATAATATTGCTACTCCTGGTTTTCTCATGTTTGCTTTAAGCTGGTTTGGTTTTGTTGTCTCTGTTTTTTCTCTCTTTTGACTGTTCTCCTTTCGGCTCTACTATAGCTCATAGCATCTGAATATATTTTACTCGTATTCTTGCAATGCAAAGGAAAAGAGGCAATAGATTCTAAGAAGCAAATGTGATTTGGTATGTTAACCTATATTGGCATATTGTATTGGGCTACATAGCTTAGCTGGGTCAAAGCTGATGTGATTGGTTCCATCTTTTTCCTCTCCTTGCTTTTAGTCGTGGGGCTTGGGTTTTTGAGGATGGGAATGAATGGGGCAATCAAGAGTCCAAAACCCTTCTTTTGTCTTCTGGTCTTGGGGGTTGCACCAGGTGTTATTTGCTTTTTTAGAAAATACCCTGTGGGAGAATTATGGCTTCTTTCAAAATGATTGATTATTTGAATGCAGTGATACCTGCTTAGAATCATGCATTTGTGGAAAGTCATGTGTATTGTTCTTTGCACGTTGCGGGTGCTGGAAGCACTCCACTTCATTATGCTGCTTGTGGTGGAAGTGTGCAGTGTTGTCAGGTATTTTGTGGTAGCTAAAAGATAAATAGCATCCAATATCATTCTTTATTTTGTTCATGTCACTTACATAAATGTATTTTTTGTGGTGGAAGTGTGCAGTTGTGGACAGTGAACCAATTTGGAACACCTACGTTGCACCTTTGTTTCTTTACTTCTATTAGATTTATCACTGAAAGTGAACTTCAACATTTTTCCTCTATATTTCATTTACCTTCGTTGCTTTACTTAATTAAGATTGCTTGCTTCACAGTCATTATGTATCCTTTAGAAGCTGAATATATTAACATTTAATGTGGACACAATGTCACTAATTTTGTGTCTAATTCCAAACAATTTGTGTTTTGTAGAAGAATAGCTTTGAGCAATTCTGCATAAATTATGCAAATGAGAGGTTGCAACAACATTTCAACTGGCATTTGTTAAAACTGGAGCAGGAAGTGAGCATCTCACATGGACCGTGTCTTTAGTTTTGTTTAGTATTTTATATGATGGGGATTGTCGCTAAAAGCAGGATATTCTTTTTTGATTCAAATCTGTCGTCATTATTTATTGTGAAAGATTATTGTGCAAGATTATTTATTCTCTCATTATGTGTACTATAAAAAAAATATTTATGTCAATTCTTGTGGAAAATGTAGATGAATGTATTTCATTTTCATATTATTATAATATTTTGATGTTATTAATTGCTTAATCAATGTTAAATATAAATTCCAAAAATTAATTTTGCTTTTAATTAGGTTTAAAATCAAAAAATAAAATAAATTATTTTATCGTATGATCACAAATTATAAAAGTTCGTTGCAAAAATAAAATTTCGTCGCTAATTGTCCCTAAACGATAATCGTCGCAGAGTTCGTCGCTAAAGAATTAATAAAAAATCGTCGCTAAATTCGATCATAAATAATGTTGATGGCAAATGTAAAAAAATTTGGTGGCAAATTAGCGACGAATTTTGCCATGAATAAGTTCGCTGCAAATTACTGACCAAAATTTTTTTTTGGCAAATTAGCGACGAATTTTGCGACGAATAATTAGCGACCAAATTTGCGACGAATTTTGCGACTAAATTTTTGACGAAATTTGCGTCGATATTTGCGACGAATTTTGCGACGAATTATTTGTAAAGAATTTTGCGACGGATTTTGCGACGAATTTTGCGACGAAATTTGCGACGAATTTTGTGACGAATTTTGCTACGAATTATTTGCGACGAATTTTGCGACGAAATATTTGCGACGAACTTTGCGACGGATAGTGTTCGTGGCTAATTTGCGACGAATTTTTTTTCCGTCGCATATTTGCGACGAAAATTAATATTTTCCGTCGCAAAAATTTGCGACGACCTAGTAGCGACGGAATTTTTTCCGTCGCTAAATTCGTCGCAAAAATGATTTGCGACGGATTTTTGCGATTTTTTCGTCGCAAAATCCGTCGCAAAAAACATGCTTTTTTGTAGTAATTTCTTCTTCTAGTTTGTTTTACTTGTCTGAGGAGTAGCTACCTTGCATGAATCTGCCCTTTCGTATGAATGAATGACACTAGTTTCCCAGCAAGAACCCAATGCCTCTTGGCAATGAAACTTAAGCTCTCTCTCAATCACTTAAATGTCTTTGCTGGGTTTGGATTTCCATATGACGTGAACCATGATGAAATGACCTGTAGGGGCTGCATCTATTAATTTCTACGGTTAAAATCTTTTTCAGGCGCTTGGCACTGGATTTTCGCAATTTGCTGAGCCAGTTTTCCTGAGGTGCATGATCATAATCCAATCAAAGATGCAATGCATGCAAAAGATCTTTTTACTATAATAAGAAGAGCTCTGGCTACATCTTATAGTTTGCCGTATGATTATTGAGAATGAGATCACGTGTCAATGACATGCTATAATGAAAAACTCCTACGGAAGAAATTTAGCAAGAAAAGGTACAGAAGCAAGACATACGATCATTCCTCCATCAAAGGCGATCAGTGTTTTCAAAAGCTAAAAAGGATACATAACCAAGGGAAAAGGAATCAAAGCTCAAGCATACTTCTCATTAAATGCTATCAGTGTTAGGCTTCACCTGCTCACTTCACAAAGATACATTGACAAACGCAACATAATTTGACTATATTTTTCGCCATCAACATATTAGTAATCAAGAAATCTCGATTAGTAATGAATTATACTGAAATAGAAAAAATTATACCAGACTCTTTATACAAGGAATTTCGTGAAACATAGCATATATTTAATTAAATTTTAAGTTGAATCAGTTTTCACATCTTTATCCCCCATCTCCCACCAAAAGAAAAGGCCTCAAACAAACTAAAACAGCATTGCAAAGGAAAAAATTAACGTGTGATCACATGACGAGGCTTGGTCAGCTTATCTAAGTGGGCCTAGTCTCAATAATTTATCAAAAACCACCGCTAGCAAATCCAGATACCATCCGACTTGAATGCACCAGTTTGTAATCTCCTTCATTAGCAGTTTTTCCCTTGCTTCGTTATGTGTGGTAGTTATAACATTTTGTAATAAATTTTTCTCTCGGTATTTGAGGATTCTACAAGACACATTGCTGCTATCTTTGCTACATGTAAGTCAACAAGAGAAGAAACTGACTAATGATTCAAAAATTTTAGACTAGCCCTTGAGCAAGAGCCATCACACGATACTATAAGCACACAGCTTGACCAAACTTATTAATGAACTAGATACTTAAATTAGAATACAAGCAAAGTATGTTTAATGAAATGAAATCGCCAAAATCATCTTATTGGGAATCCAAGTAAAAAAATCCAAAATGAACATAGTAAGTGATAAATTTAGAGACAAAGAACGCAAACACAATTTAACGAGGTTCGGCTAAGTAAGCCTACGTCCTCGGGAATCCTCTCTCAAAGTTTCTTTTTGTTATGAATTCATTGAGAGAGGGACTGCCTTTTTATTGATAGAGGTACATAATTGTTTCCAGAATTACAGGGAATGTACAAAGTAACAATTGAACAAGGAAAGAACACCAAATCAGGAGAATATCCTATAATTTTCTCCTACCAAAATAGGAGGATCCTGTCGATTTGGTCAACACTCCCCCTCAAGTTGGACCGAAGATATCATCAGAGGTCAACTTGTTCACCATGTCCTAAAATGGTCCTTTAGCAAGGGCTTTGGTGAAAATATCGGCCAACTGATCTTCACTTCGAACATAGGGAGTTTCAATGGTGTTATCCTGAACCTTTTCCCGTACAAAATGGCAGTCTACCTCAATGTGTTTTGTTCTTTCATGGAACACGGGATTTGAGGCGATATGAGCAGCAGCTTGATTATCACAAAACAGCTTCGTAGGTGACGTTCTTGGTTTGCACCCTAATTCCTGGAGGAGAAGGTGCAGCCAAACTATCTCACTAGTAGTAGTAGCCATTGCTCGATATTCTGCTTCAGCACTTGAACGAGCAACAACATTTTGCTTCTTACTTTTCCAAGTAACAATATTACCTCCTACGAAGGTGCAAAAGCCCGTAGTAGACTTCCTGTCATTGGGGCTTCCTGCCCAATCAGCATCTGCATACTCGACAATATCTGTATGCCCATTGTTCTTCATTAAAATACCCCTTCCTGGTGTAGTTTTCAAGTACCTCAGCAATCGATCAACCAAATCCATGTGCCCTTGAGTCGGATTTTGCATGAATTGACTTACATAGCTAACTACGTAAGTAATATATGGTCGAGTAATAGTCAAGTAAATCAACTTGCCTATGAGACGTTGAAATGCTCCAATGTCTTGCATGGGAGTATTATCAGCGGCAAACTTACTATTGTAATCCATAGGAACATTTGCCGGTTTGGCCCCCATTTTCCCTGTTTCTTTTAACAAGTTCAAAATGTACTTTCTCTGTGACAGAAACAAACCCTTGTGAGAGCTGGCCACTTCAATTCCTAAGAAATACCTTAGTTTTCCAAGATCTTTGATATCAAATTCTCGACGAAGATATTGTTTGAGAGCCTCAATTCCAGATTTATTGCTTCCGGTGATAACAATATCATCAACGTAGACGAGTAAAATTACAATACCACCCTCATCAGATTTGGTAAACATTGATGAGTCGGCCATACTTCGTACAAACCCAAACTTTGTAAGTACACCACTGAGCTTGCCGTACCATGCTCGAGGAGACTGTTTAAGTCCGTAGATGGACTTCCTTAATTTGCAAACCATCCTTTCTTCATTTTGCAAGGCATGACCCGGGGGAAGATCCATATACACTTCTTCTTCAAGGTCTCCATGAAGAAATGCGTTTTTCACGTCCATTTGACAAAGCGACCACCCACGATTGACTGCTACGGACATAAGAACACGAACCGTATTCATCTTCACAACTGGAGCAAATGTCTCCTTGTAGTCAATGCCGTAGGTCTGGGTGTAGCCTTTAGCTACAAGGCGAGCTTTATACCTTTCGACTGAGCCATCACTATTGTATTTAATCTTGTAAATCCAACGACAACCAACAGAGCGCTTTCCATCAGGTAATCGCACCACATCCCAAGTGTGATTTTTATCAAGCGCCTGGAGTTCCTCCTTCATAGCTGTAATCCACACTGATTGATGTTTGGCTTCTTCATAACTGTTGGGTTCTTTTGAACTTTCAAGAGTAGATAAGAAACACCAAAATTGATGCGAAATTTTGTCATAATTGACATAGTCTTGGATGGGATACTGTACCGTGTGATATGTGGTAAAATCTCGAAGTCTAGCAGAGGGCCTAGAAATCCTCATAGATCGGCGAACTGGTGGTGAAGATGCTCCAGAAAATTCTTCTGTCATGATTTCTTCCCCAGAGTGAGTTTCAGCCATCGGCTCTAGATTTTGCTGTAGCTCGGTGTCATGTTCTAATCGTCCTCCATCCCTTGTTTCTAAAGTGGGTACATTCGTGGGTACCATAGGTGAAGCAGCAATAGGGACAGGGGCAGGTGAAGCAGCAATAGGGACAGGGGCAACTTCTCCATAATCTGTTGAGAGTTTGGTGTACTCCCCCTGAAGTTGGCTCCTGTCAGAATAATACATATTAGTCTCATCAAAGTGAACATCACGGGATATATAGAGGCGCTTTGTGGTGGGCTCGTAACACTTGTATCCCTTTTTAGCTAAAGAATAGCCAACGAACACGCACTTCCGAGCACGTGGATCAAGTTTACCATCGTTCGAGTGAACGTAGCATGTACTGCCAAAAATCCTCAAATGTGAGACATTGAACTTCTTCCCATATAAAATTTCTACCGGAATCTTGTATTCAAGCACTCGGCTAGGGAGCCGATTAATAATATAGCAACTGGTGAGAACAGCGTCGCTCCAATATGTTTTGGGCATATTCCCCGAAAAAAGTAAGGCCCGAGTAACTTCTAGAAGATGACGATTTTTCCTTTCTACTATGCCATTCTGTTGGGGCGTCCCAACACAGGAAGTTTGATGAATAATACCCAAGTCGCGCAAATAAGCTTGAAATGCTTGATTGGTGTATTCCGTCCCATTATCCATGCGCAACACTTTCATGTTTGTCTTAAATTGATTTTGTATCATAGCACAAAATTCCTGAAAAACAATAAGAACCTCACTTTTGGTTTTGAGCAGATACAACCATGTAGCGCGAGACTTATCATCAATAAAAGAGATGAAATATCTATAGCCATCCCGAGACTCAATGGGAGCACTCCATACATCATAATGAATTAAATCAAATAATTCTGAAGAGAAATGTGTACTCTTAGGAAAAGGAAGTCTATGTTGTTTGGCGAAATGACAACAATCACATGAACTAGAATCATGAGATAAAGATCTATCAAGAGTGTGTAAAATCTGATCAGACGGATGACCCATGCGTCTATGCCATAGTTCCGACATCTTCTTAGCATTCTGGATTGCACTCAATGCCTTGGGGTATTGATCTATGACATAGAGTCCATTCTGCAACCTCCCTTCACCAATCGTCCTCTTGGTGATGCAATCCTGAAGTAACACCTTAGAAGCAGAAAAAATGACATTGCAGTTCCATTCTTTCGTACACTTACTAACAGATAATAAATTTGAAGATAAATCAGGTACGATCAAAGCGATAGAACTCTTAGACAACATCTTAAATTTTCCTGCTCCTTGTGTCGGGACCTGTGCTCCATTAGCAACAGTAATAGGAGGATAATCATTGGAGACAACTTTAACCATTATTTGATCTGAATTACACATATGGTCAGTGGCACCCGAGTCTATAACAAACTGATTTTTGAACTGAGTCAAGAACACCTTACCAGAAGTTTGTACCATGTGGCTTGATTCAGCAGATGAGCCAGTTGATCCAATTGCCTTAATGTTGGACCCTTGGCCCTGCAAAAGTTGTTGAAATTGATTCGCAAGACTTTCAAGTTTGGCCTTGAATTCAGTCGGGTTAATTGGATCATTTTGGGCAGCCAATTTTGCTTCTGGCCCCTTCTCTCTACCAACCCGCAAGTGAGGATGAAGAACCCAGCATCGGTCCTTGGTGTGACCATCACGATCACAGTGTTCGCAGTGGAAACGACCGGTTTTCTTCGTCTTTCCCTTGGCAAATCTAGTGACAGCCTCCGCCGATTTGTTGGTTACGACATTGTGGGCCGAAATCTCAGCAGTTGCTTTTATGTTCGCCGGTGCTGGATTCATGACTCGACGCCTTGTTTCCTCTCCCTGGATCGTGGCACAGACTTCGGTGAGGGACGGCAAGATTGGGCTCATGAGGATATGTCGTCTAAGATTATCGTATTCTGGCCGAAGGCTAGCCAGAAGTTGAAAGATCCGATCTTCCTCCTCTCTGCGAACATAATCAGCAGCGGATTGAGTGGCGGGGCGGTACTGTCGGAGCTCGTCCCACCTCCTCTTGAAATTTCCGAGGTGTAAGGTAAATGATTGATTCTCTTCTTGCCTTGAACTTGCCAATTCTTGATGGATTTCAAAAATCCGAGAGGCATTTCTGAGTTGACCATACATTCCAACCAACGCATCCCATAGTGCTTGAGCTGAATTGGAGTATGCAAAAATCTCGTAGATTTGGGGCTCCATGGAGTTGAAGATCCAGGACATGACAGAGTTGTCACTGGCCAGCCACTCTTCGTATCCGGGATCATCTTCTGGAGGAGCTTTGATTTTACCATTGATGTGGCCGAGTTTCGAACGGCCTCCAAGAGCTACGGTTACAGCTCGTGACCAAGGAAGAAAATTCCTTTCGTTCAGAAGCATGTTCGTGAGACGTTGGTTGTGAGATTCTTGCAGAAGACCTTTGGTAGAAGGAGTTGCAGTCGGCAATTTCCTGCCGGCATCCTGTTCTCCCATGGTGACAACACAGCAACAAGGTAACTAGAAAAAATCGTCGAAACAAACAATAACAGGTTAGGCTTGAACCTGCTCTGATACCATGATAAATTTAGAGACAAAGAACGCAAACACAATTTAACGAGGTTCGGCTAAGTAAGCCTACGTCCTCGGGAATCCTCTCTCAAAGTTTCTTTTTGTTATGAATTCATTGAGAGAGGGACTGCCTTTTTATTGATAGAGGTACATAATTGTTTCTAGAATTACAGGGAATGTACAAAGTAACAATTGAACAAGGAAAGAACACCAAATCAGGAGAATATCCTATAATTTTCTTCTACCAAAATAGGAGGATCCTGTCGATTTGGTCAACAGTAAGTGAAGGAAGGAGAAGACATAGGTCACCTACAAAGCCATTCTCTCACGCATTAAATATGTCTGTCGCTGTCATTAACGTTAACAAAAACTTGAAGGGGCCCAAGGCGCGTCCTCAGATACTGGGGATGAACCCTTGATAGATCATGTCTTTTTCTCCGACGAAAAATATATCTCACCTAAATTTACCATCAATCGTGTTTACTTCTTTAACTGGATAAGGGAACTCAAAGCGAGATCTCTTTGTAAGCCTCCGGCTTCTTCTTCGGGTAGCTTGCGAGAAGCCTTTCCTGCCCTTGCTGTTGGACTCCAGTCCTCTAGAAAATCAATTAGAAGTGAGAGAGAGAGAGATCATAATGATGATCCTGCACCTAGTCAAAACTTCCAAGGAAACAGTACAAGATGTGACGGGCCCTTTGACTATCAACCAGAAATGACCTGATGCCAAGCAAGGTTAAGCAATTTGAGGAAATCAAGGAACTGCTAGGGATGTCGGAATCGAATGCTGGATCAGACAAACCTGAAACCAAAGCAGAATTGAGGGCCTGTGATGGAAAAGTTGCTCTTGTCCTAATTGCAAGGTTTCACCTCTGCTCCATTGACTCTGGCTTCTGATGTCATGATCGAAATTTTGGAAGAAGCAAACAAAACATCTGTCTATGAATCGCCGGACACCATAATAAGTAAGTGAAGAACAAGTACTTGTAAAAGAGAGCAATAACCACCATTGCTCACCAAATCAAACCAGCTTGGAAAAAGGAGAAGGGATGTCGGAAAGGAGCAGGTATTGCCTGCATTCGGTACATGTGAGCCCCAAGAACATGCACCATTAGATTGGGGCTCATTACTTCCAACAGTACCTATGAACTGGCCATACATGCATCAGGTTTATCTAAGAATTTTTTATTGGAAGAGTAGATATTGCCTGGCACGTCGAGGCATAGTCCTAAAACTTGCCAATTTACAATCATGTGCTAAGGTGCATGAGGCAATCGATGTAATTGTATAGGTGTAAGTTGGTCTCACAAGTCAACGTCAATGGATCGCCCATCCATTCTCTCTCTCTCTCTCTCTCTCTCTTGGGTTTATGAAATAGAGTTAGGAAAAATAAATTCCTAAGCGATACAATGAAACAATACAAATTAGTATGTCGAGTTCATACTAGTCGTGTTTATGACAAAATAATAACAACCTGCCTAACACAATCATCAAACTAGTTATGTTACCTGAATAACCAAAAATGGACCCCTGTAGCCAGCCCAAATAATTCTTGCCCACTACAAATGAGCCAAAAAACTCAAGAGGAAGGTAAGTCGTGACTCAGTGATGACTACCCCCGTATTAGTGAAGGTCGAGCTTGCTGATGTATGACTTGTGTAGGTTGTGGATTTAATCAAGTACTCCAGTACTTAACCATTGTCTTTTCGCTTCAAGCTATAGCTTTCTTCTGCTGCTGTAGCAACTCAAAGTGTGAGCTTCTATGTCACTTTTTTCTCAATCCCCGTGATGACATGATTTTCCCCCTCTATTCCTCAACCATTCTTATTTATCAGATCAGGCAACACTAGCAAGGCCTATTTGGGTTTTCTTACCAAGGATATGCTTTTGCCATAAAAACTGAACTTTTTTCCTATGAGCAAATTAATATGCTCAGGATAACATGTTCGGATCATTACCTCCTGAATCCTGTAAGTTAAAAGTCATATATCCCCACTACTATTCTTTGCTTTTCCTCATTGAGCTGCACATCCTCAACGAAGATTCTGTTTATGGAAGTTGAGGTCCTCCTGAGCTTGCTGTGCTAAGGGAATTTAAAGCTTTCAGTGTGAATCAGTTGCAGTTGTACACAGTCTGGTTGTAGGCTTTCCTATATATGAATGCTCTGACAAGTTTACGTGCACTTACGTGAGCATCATAAGAGATCCCTTCATGATGTTGATCTGATTTAGTAAGATTTTGTAATCGATTTCAAATTAAATTCATGAATGATCAGGATTCAGATAGTGATTTTGCCTTCACTTTTCCTTTAAGTTGATAATTTTTGTACTCAAGTTCGAACTTGAACTTGAGATCAATATTCACAGAAAACCCGAGAATAGTTGGATCAATCAAGCATGCCGAAAATCATTTGATGTTTGAGTTAAAGAAAAATACTGATACCCAGGCCAAGCAAGAGTCAACTTCTAAATTATCATTATCATGGTCCAGTTACGCCCCTAAGTGCAATGTCTATGATGTTCCACACTGGCTAAGATGGCTCCCTCGCTTCAAGAAAACTTGCTTTTAAGTCATCTCATGCTTAGGATTCAAGAAATGTTAGTCCAATGTAGACAATGTTCAACACTAACTTGCAACATATATAAGGTCTCTCCGTACTATATTTTCAGTAAAATAAACTTCACAAACCTGAATCAGCTCGAGTTACTTCTGCCTTCAAATGAGGGTTTGTCCTGAATCTTGAGGCTAAGGACAAAGCAATATGAGGATCCACAGAGAAGGTTGGTCTTGCATATTCAATCCATCTATTGGAGATTATCGAGCCGAAAACCACCTTCCCTGAAATTAAGTGCAAACATGGCTATAGAGAGAACAAAAATCAACTGCATGCAATATTACTATAAACGTATGCAAAACCAGAGGAATACTTTGAGTTGGTGGTTTGCACCCAAACTTCAAGCCCGTCAATCTGATGCTGAGATACCATCAGAAGGTGCTGCTTCCTCTTCTCTCTTCCAACAACGTAATTTTCGACGGCACCCCAGTCACAATGGTATTTGCTATTCTGCATGCTCTGTAATTATCATACCAGCACCCAAATCCATCAATAGGAAATAGGGAACAGCATGAAAATTGCGTTTTGACCAATTATTAAGATTCTCCAGTGTTAAGAAGAGTAACTTACCTCATCGAATAAAGTCAGATTGAGAAGAATCTATTCGCTCATTCTGTTAAGCAGTTGACAAGTATGGATAATAAAGGAAATCAGAGAAGAAGGAAGCAGAGTATCTGCCCAAAGTATCTGCGGACACGACTTCAGACTTGGCGAAACCCTTCGAGATCCGGCGAGGAGGATTCTGAGGTTGGCAGAGCTCGATCCATTGCCACCACACAGGTGTGTGTTTGACCGAGAACAGAGGACAGCGAAACATGTTCAGACCTTTAAGAATTGTGCGATTCCCCCTGAAAACCCGAAGGGGAATGTGCGGTTTCCTCTCAGACTCCATCCATTTGTTAGATAGAGAGGGAAAAGAGGAGACAATTTCTTCCTTTGTGATAGGTTTATGGAAGTTACGTTGTTTTCTTCTAAAAGAATAGAAGTAAGAAAAGAACAGAAGAGACAGAAGAACTCTCCATCAAACAAAAAGAAAAGGAAAAAGTTCCTCACGCTCACTCTCGATTGTTCTTTCATACGCGCGTAGAACGCAAACCGAAACTCTCTTGAAGTTGCAAACGTGCATTAAATCTGTGGAAATCTAAGGTACGTTCCGTTGTGTGACATATCTTCCGATCAGTGATTCAAGTGATTCTGGACATGTTTTCCGCATTTTCTCGTTCATGTAATTTAGAATAAGTATCCTTCGTTATTGGAATTAGTTTATATCGTTGGTATCAGAACAATGTTCTTGTTTCCTGATCGTTGAACATGTTTAATAAATGCATTGTTGGCTGGAAATCATGAAATGATGCCGACAAATGCTCGGGTACGAAAAACGACACCCAACCGTACTGTTTGGGGTCGCTTCTCAATGTTCCGTGCAATAAAAGTCGATTTTGAATATACGGGATCGTAGCTTTCATTGAGACAAGAAAAATGAGTGGCGCACGGCACCAGGGGAGGCCACGCCACACACGCGTGGACGTCATGTGCTTGCCAGTGCAGTTCATGCGCGCGTGTGCCACACACACGCTCAACCGTCCTCTCAGGCGTGGTTGACGTCAACCATGCGGGTTTAGCAATCGGGCCAACCCAACCCGGTTGACCGACCCGACCCGTTGACCATTGATATGTCAAACTGGACTTGTTCAGACTAGGTTTCTGCCCCGCGTGTGTATCACACACGCCGCGCACTGTGGAGGAGCATGTGGGCGTGTGGGAGCTCCGATTGGAGCGTTCTTGGTACTGGCATGTTCGTATTGGAATGCTCTATAATGTGGTATATTCATATCACATGTTTGATGCTTGTAAGGATATGAAAATGCACAATGAACCCTATGATATGCGTATTTTTAGGTATTCATGGCATTTTTTCTTGTATTTCCTTTTGTTTTTGGAAAATACGATTGCTGGCTGATGTGTATATGAATGAACGTTCCCTATTTTAGTACCATGGATTATATGTCATCCTTTCTTGTTTTGCATTTGTTGCAGGAACAATGTTACATTTGATACAAACGCCTGTATTCCCATGGACAGTGGAACAAAAGGCAAGACTTGCAGGGCTGAAAAAGGATTTAGCTGATTATCGATGGGACGGTCGTGTCGACATGATGTCGCACATAATCAAGGTCAACCAGATGATACAAGACGTCATTTGGAATGGTTGCTGTATGGCAAGTTTTGAAAAGATCGACGCCCTAAGAACAACTCTTCCATATGAATGGCAAGAAGTGTTGGATGGTTTTTGGAACAGCGACATTATTCCAAGCTATGACGAACTTATAGAGATTTTTCTCAGAGAATTTATAAGGGTTGGGGCAACAAAGACGTCAACTCTTGGGATGAATGCATCCTGGCGTAGATTGAATGCACCCTGGCGGGAACCTAAGAGATTTCCGAGAGTCTTCCCTTGGCTACCAGATAGGACCATAGAATTTCCTAAGGAATTTTACGATTCTTTCCCGGTTTATTAGAGGCATGAGTGGCGCTGAAGTTATGTCTTTAAATTTAAGTCATTGCTTGTGGATATTTCTTTCATGTTGATGTTTGTCATTTCTTTAGGACTTGTTAATATTTCCATCTCATGTAAGACTTATATGTTGTTTTATGGTATATTTGTTTTATGATTATTCATTGGCTTTGTTGTCATATGAATATTGCCTTATGTATGTTATATGTGAGTGGGAGTTCTATAAAGTTTTAGTAGCTTAAAGAACTTAATTTTACATAAATAATTATGTTAATCGTAACATCCACGATTTTGGCCATGAGAAATGGTTATGGAACTGGTGTGCTGATAATGAGGAATATTGGCCATGGACCAATCCAAGGAACAGTCATGGACCGATCAACCGAATCATAAGGATAACCAAGGAATCAGCCATGGCCTGATCGAAGGATCAACCTTGGAATCATTGAAGGATCGACAGTGAACCAATCCAATGACTACACAAGTGACCCAAGCTATCGGCCATGGATCGGTTGCTCAACAATAAGGATTGGTCATAGGACGGTCATGTACCACCATGGATTGATGGACGATCATGGATCGATTTTTCGCGATCCTATTCCAATCGTGGGTGGTTCCGCATAGTCATATACCAACCGCAAACGACCATGGATCGATCCGTGTGACCGTGTATTAGTCACAAAACGATCGATCCCACACAACTACATGACAACCGAAAGTCGGCCTCGGACTAAGTATGCTTGGCCATGAACCGATTATAGACTAGCCATAGGTCATTTAGACTGGTCAGGGACCGGTCGTGGATCAGTCGCGGATTGGTTTGACGACCTTGCCGAACAGGTCATGTGCCCAAGTCGTGAGTTAGGTTACGAGTCGGCCATGTGCCCAGACTTGGATCCTACTGTAAGGCCACAAGAGCTAGGATAAGCATGGGCCATGCACCCGATCAACTCGGCCCTGTGCCTGGCCAGTGCCGACCACGAAGCCCACACGATGGGCCACCAACTTAGCCAATCTAGGCAAGTTTGGCCACAAAGTGCCTCATCCGATAGTGATTCGGCTACAAACCTCGGTTTGGTTGGCACGGTCGATCGTGGATGAACATGAAAAATTCAAACCCAATCAAGTTAGCGCTTCTATTAGCCTAATTCTCATGCTTGCCATATTCTTGAAATTTGGACAAATTAGAAGGTTCTAGAACATTGGCCATTAATGCAAGGGATGAATCATTATGTTAGGTGACATTATAAAGATTTGGTAATGAGAGCCAAAGATTTGGCTTGGAAAGCAAGCTAGGCAATAAACATGTGACAAAATCAAACCCCATCATGATCATTTCTTGAGCATTTAATGAAGGCGTGAGTTGTCTACTTAGGTGGCAAGGTAAGATATAGTAATGATGGCAAAAAGATTTGGTTTAGAAAACAAGTTAGGCTAAGTTATCATTATATGGTGACTCATTAGCCAAGTAGACCAATAGGAAAAACACACCAAGGATCCTTAATCATTTCCTAGGATTTTAGGGTGCCACATAACCAAAATAGCTAAGCCACTCCAAGAAAGCTCATTAGACCACTTGTTAGGGCATTTAATGAGGGAAAGGCTTATAAATAAGGCACCACTCCCTTCATTCTCACCACCTTTGGCTCACTTCTTCTTCTCCTTTCCTCTTGGACCCTCTCTCTTTCTCGGCTTTGCTTGCCGTTCGCCTTCACTGTTTGGCCACCACTTGGCCATTTGCCACCACTCCGTCAAATGGTAAGTGAAATTACTAACCCTTAGCTAGGGCGATATACTGCGTTGTTGAATTTGGACGTGTGCTCACCCATACTTTGTCGTGTGTATGATGTTCTTTTCTATGGCGTGTTTGAGTGTGTTCACACCTCGGGACAAGATCGAGGTTCGCTCGACTTGGAATCAACGCTAAGGCAAGATAAACCAAGCCGCAAGGCCTTTGTTGACATTGAGGCGTGCCGGTTCCAAGTCTTGCTTAGTGCGGGGATTGAATCTAGGCGTTTGGTTCAAGCCACGAATCAAGGATTGTTCCCGGTGTATCATGTAGTGAGGGTCATGACACACACACACTCGTTTGAGCACTCCCACAGGCATTCTGTATACATTGACTAAGAAATAAAGATGAAAATTCAGATTGCGTGAATGCTTGTTATGTCGTCATATAAAGGAAATAGCCATTGCCAATGGATTTTGGTGACGTTGCCCGGTAGATTCCAGATATCTAACTTGAAGCTGGAAGCCCCCAAGAGTATCGGATGCCCAGCTTGAAGTTGGAAGCCCCTAAAAGTATGGGAAGCCTCTGAGAGTATGGGATGTCCAGTGGATTCCGGATACCCAACCTAAGGCTGGAAGCCCCTGAAAGTATGGGAAGAACCGTGTGAAATGGTTAATGAACCTTTGATGTATGTTGACGTGTGTTGTTGTTGAGTTTATTGACAAGTTGATGCCTTAACGGTAAGCCGGAATTGATCACATGTATATAGGCGGCTATTGATCTGCCATAGATGTTGTGGTCGAGTGATCTTCGCATGCTAGGTTCGATGACGAGACGTCCTCCTGACTCAGGATTAGTGATTTTACTTACTGAGTCCTCGACTCACTCCGTTGTCTTTTCAGACTTATAAGTATGGACGTCTCACCTCCTCTTCGTCATGGTGTACCGATTTTAGAGTTGCAGCCTTGCTAAAGGAGATAAGAATCCCCCGGCCTACTTTTTTGGATAGGAAAAGTAATGTAAATAAGAAGTGTCCATAGAAAAAAAAGGGCTTGTAAATGTACTAAGGCAATATGGAAGTAGTATGTTCTGTATGTTGTTTTCCTGATTGCTTATTTGTTGTGTTTGTCTGGGAGTTTGTTTGTACACGTTTTCTGCATGTGCATGTTAACGAGATAAAAGAAACGGGATGGCAATAAGCCTGGGACGTCGCAACAATAACCCCCGAGGGCCGCGGGTCCCTGACATTAATGATAATTTCAAATTAGGATTCTTAGATGATGATTGGGAACATAGTGACCTTTTGAATCTAAAACTTTATGTGAAATTATTCATTAATGTAATAGGTTTGTGTAAAATAGATGCATAAATGTTAGGCATTAATTCGTGCATATATGTTTGAAATGTTCAAATGCAATGGCTTTGGCATGTAAAAACATAGTGGCTGAGTTGAACAAAGGAGAGAAATTGAAATGTGATAATTATGAGATTTGGAATATGAAAATCCAGTATATGCTGAAAGAGCAAGAAGCACACGAAGCTCTTAACCAAGTTATGGAAGAACCTGAAGATGGAAATACTACACAACACAAAAGAGATAAAGATGTATTTCCTGCGTGAAAGAAGAAAAACTCTATTGCTCACATTATGTTGCTGAGTGACATGGAGAATGATATTATGCGGGAGTTTAGGCGTTTTGATAATGCCAAATATATGT